GCTCCAATTAAAAGCAGATAAAAACTCTTGAAATTTTCCTCTCGCAGTGATCGACCCCGAGCGATATCGGCTGTTCGACCGGCCGAGATCGGACACATTGACTGATAGATCGAGCAAGCAGTGAATAAACGAGTGTGGAGAGGGATGAGTCATGGATAGGCAAGATGACTCGAATGATGAATACTAATATCCGTTGAGTGACATTTCGAGTCGATGAGGACGGGAGAGCCGCGGAAATCTACGGGCAAGGGAAGAAACTTCTCAATCAGACCGCGATTCCACGAGCAGAGACATCCGCGCTATTACGCGACGCTCACTTAGTCAGCGATACTCACTATACTCAGACGGCTCGTCCTCGGAGTAGATCGAATTCCTCCGAGTACGAGTAGTTGGCAACCGATGGTCAGAATCATCTTCGACTGACATTCGCCTGACTACATGCACAAATTAGCGCGAGAGCTTCCAGAATCACTATAATTTTATGGGCGTTCTGGTGAATAAATAAATACTGGACTGATGAACTTTCGCAAACGACCGCACGAGAAGCCGCAGACTGAATACACGGAGCGAACGTACTGGTGAGTGGCCACCGAATCCATTCCTGTCATACGGAAGCCGGCCTTCCAACTCAATCGATCTAGGAACAACGATTTGCTCCGACAAATGATTTCTGGCTCCATGGGAGCCTCTTCGTCGGCACTCGTGGTTTCTACCACGATTTCCCGAGCTGGAGCAATCCTTCAATTGAAAGCAACGTACACTTGCCGGAATACTTGCGTAGCAATCACCATGAGCGATTCTCTGATAAGCGGGGAGCCAAGAAACACGGATTCCATCGTCAGACCCCACTCACTTGAGAATCGTCTACGTGTAAGGAGTATCTCTCTCGCAAAGCACTCGGGAGAATTCGCTGTATTGTTCTAATTTGGAATCTTGCGTTATCGAATCGAATACCAACACAAAGATCAAAGTTGTCAGCAGGAAACAGCAACCACATAGACATCAACACGCGAGCGTCTGCCGATGTCAGCGTCGTCAACGTCTTCACCTATCGCGGAATACACCCGTCATCCATGCGCGTGCATGAGCTCAACGTGGCCAGCGTGAGAATCATCTCGCATCCATTCACGGATAATTCGAAAGCCATTCGATGTGCAAGTCTCTTAATCTGAATTTCAATCGGTGATCAAGCATAAGGGCTCGGCAAAAGAGGTCACCATCAATCCGACTTATGGAGCAGCACAGAACGCGTGGTCCAGACCCCCGATAGGGAGCAACTCTCCTGGATAGGAGAGATCTCACAAAGTTTCCACAGCGATTATTGCGGTACCAGGTCTATTCATGGATAGATGAGGAGAAAAATGATCCAAGGGCTCCGTCCTCCCTTTCCTGGGCTTCAAGTCTAAAGACTCTCGCTGAGATCGGGAGCGTCTGCGTGTGACGCTCCGGGCGGGGATTCAAGCCCGGTGGTCTGCCCGCAAACCGCTAAGTGGTCCGCGAACTCATAGCGAGAATAACGATGGACCATGAAGTCCGAGGCGCTGCCGACCGCTGTTCTCAACAATGCGCTTTTGTCTCTATATAATCGGATACGAAAGTCGTATCTACGCCATCGGAACACAGGACATCATTCAAAAAAATTAACTGAATCGCGGAACGATTGTTGGCTGGTGGAACCGTCTTCCCGGGGGTTCGTTTTCGGAGATTAGCGCCGAAGGAGATCTACAAAGGATTCTGGAAAGCTTCAACGGGAGCTGGAGGGGAGGAACAAGGCTTCACAACACGAATAATTGAACCCGATCCGCCCGGAGAATCATCATTCCGGACTGGCAATCCAGACGCACCGACGGCGAGCGAGACTTGTGGTCGAGATCCGCGGACGGGCGATCTAACCATTCATAATGAGGGCTGATGATGCTCAAGCAAAAGTCATTTTTAGCGTTTTGTAGTGCTAGTGTTGGTTCGCTGGTAGCTCGTTGGGTCGCTGCCGCCGCTTGGTTTTGTCGGTTATAAATGAGAGTAGCTGCGAGTCCGAAACACCAGTTGGTGGCTTGCGGGTGCCATGATTCTGGGTCGTAATGAAAACACGCTGTCTCATTTGACACTGTCGTTCAAGCTTGAGAGCTGCCTTCGTCTTTCCTGCCCCAGGATCTGTGTCCACCGTGTTTCTTGCCGTTTTTTTCCCTCTATTCTCCGCGATTATTTGTAGCAGTTTCTCGTACATCTGTCGCCATCATTACGCTTCTGTAAACGATTTCGTGGCCACGCTGAATGAAGTTTAGTTGAATGAACTCGGATCGCTTCCCCTCCGGCTAGAGTCGCAGTTCTCGCGTCCCGACTTTTCGAGTCCCAAAGGACGATGTACCTGATCGTTGCGTCGGCGTCGGTGACGAGACTCAGAGGGAAGCCTAGGGATAGTATCTGGAGAAAACATTCCCGGAAATGGCGGTCAGACTTGTTCGGGTTCGCGGCCAGCGAAGGGTCCATAGTAATTCACAAGGATTGGCGGAATTTCGGTGGAGTCACGGTATTCGTGTAAACTCTGTGGAGTCGTTCTTCCGAGAGTAAATTTTATTATGAAAGCTTCACTCTGAGTGAGTGGACAGTAAAACCAGACCATGAGGCTAGCTCGACGATCGAGCTATCGGGTGGAGTTCTCAATCACTTGTCTATTCAGTGATTTGAGCGAAGGATTCCACCAATCTAGATTTTTCCTCCAGCACAAGATCTCTAAAGCGTGGGTGCCAATGGCTCGGAGACCTAATGTCAGCAGCATCCGAACCTCTTGACAGGCTCTCCGTACATTCGGTCGTTCAAGGCCATCGTATTCTCGGCGGCGATGATTGCTGCTCGACATTCGACGATCTGCTGACGCCGAAGAACTTCGTTGGCCAGGTCGCGGGCCGCCTCATCGATATTCGTGTCTGTCTTTGCCGATGTCAAGTACCATGAGTGGAAGTTATTCGTCTCACAGAAATGTTTCATTTTGGCCTGGCTGATTCCGTCTCCCTTGTCCAGATCGCATCTGCGGAATGATTGTAGGCTAGGAGTCATGGTCGGCGTCCCAAGCGAGTGAGATTCAGGATAGGGGACCACTACCAATTCATTTCTCTCTCAAGAGAATCATCATCGGAGAAGACTCACTTGTTCGCCAATAAAACACAAGGAATGGGAGAACCATCCGCTAGATGCGCTTTAGCGTCGAGATCGTTCTTCCATTTTAGAACGGCTTCGAACGTGGCGCCTCTCGTGACGTCGAAGACGATGAAAGCTCCGACCGCCTGCTTGAAGTACACTCTCGTCATGTTACCGAAGCGTTCTTGACCTGCAAGCGAAACAGATTCTAATTTCCGGAACCTTCGAGCAGAGTCCCAAGGATTCCAAACGAATCACCCGTATCGATGGGGGGGGATGGGGTGGGGGTACCCGCGCTGACCTGCGATGTCCCACAACTGTAGCCGGACGACTGTATTCTCGTCCCACTGAATAACTTTGAGCGCGAAGTCTACACCGATCGTGGGTCGGTAATGCTCGCTATAGGCCTTGTGAACGTAGCGGCGGATGATGTTGGTCTTGCCCGTTCCCCATTCACCGATTACCAGCACCTTAAACAGAAAATCGCGGGGATCCGCAGCCGGAGTTGCCATCTCGATTCTATAGTAAGGACCCCTCAAGATCCGTTTCCCTGGAATTGAAAAGATCGCCTTAGCTCCCCTTCCAAGTCAGCGATGCATGAGCGAACGATGGAACCCATTTCCGTCCGGATTTTGGCAAATGAGAGCCCGCTCTTGGATAACGGTGCAGGCTTGTAAGATCATGAAGACTATAAAAGAAGAAGTACGCTACGGAGACAACTGTTTGCCGCCAGCTCCACCGAGATCAAGATGCTGGCAGTTGACCTCAGACATCGTGGAAATCTCCAGGCGGAGCTAGTTTGTGACAATTTGTTACAATTTCGTATTTCCTCCGACGTTCCCGTGACCCGTAATCTTTAGTATGGCTTCTTCACTTATCTATCTGACGAACAAAAATTCACGCTGGTTACCCCTGTCACGGACCGCCCAGGGTCTACCGTCTGACCTTTTCCAGGAGATAAATTAAGTGTGGGTCTCGCAGCGCGAACTGACTGCATTAGCATTTACGAGCTACATTGGTGGATCATTGAGATCCAGGATGAACTGAATCAGGCGGGTATAACACACTCTTCGCGAACCATCCGCCAGCAGCGATGCTTTTCGCTGATCATCAGGACCTCTGAGACTCAATCGGCAGCCTGACGATAACCTCGGAGCCACTGTGAGATACGGGGAACCGTTCTCGCCGGACGGAATGTTATGTAGTGCTCTCCTCGGTTGTTTGCTCTATCTCCCTTGTGGCTGATGCGGCCGCTTTCTGGGCTAGGAAAGTCCGGACCCGAAAGCCGAATTGTTCCAAATCACAAATTTGCTCCACGGTCGCTTCCTACGATTTGGTTGACGGGGAAGAGCTCCAATTAAAAGCAGATAAAAACTCTTGAATTTTTCCTCTCGCAGTGATCGACCCCGAGCGATAGCGGCTGTTCGACCGGCCGAGATCGGACACATTGACTGATAGATCGAGCAAGCAGTGAATAAACGAGTGTGGAGAGGGATGAGTCATGGATAGGCAAGATGACTCGAATGATGAATACTAATATCCGTTGAGTGACATTTCGAGTCGATGAGGACGGGAGAGCCGCGGAAATCTACGGGCAAGGGAAGAAACTTCTCAATCAGACCGCGATTCCACGAGCAGAGACATCCGCGCTATTACGCGACGCTCACTTAGTCAGCGATACTCACTATACTCAGACGGCTCGTCCTCGGAGTAGATCGAATTCCTCCGAGTACGAGTAGTTGGCAACCGATGGTCAGAATCATCTTCGACTGACATTCGCCTGACTACATGCACAAATTAGCGCGAGAGCTTCCAGAATCACTATAATTTTATGGGCGTTCTGGTGAATAACTAAATACTGGACTGATGAACTTTCGCAAACGACCGCACGAGAAGCCGCAGACTGAATACGCGGAGCGAACGTACTGGTGAGTGGCCACCGAATCCATTCCTGTCATACGGAAGCCGGCCTTCCAACTCAATCGATCTAGGAACAACGATTTGCTCCGACAAATGATTTCTGGCTCCATGGGAGCCTCTTCGTCGGCACTCGTGGTTTCTACCACGATTTCCCGAGCTGGAGCAATCCTTCAATTGAAAGCAACGTACACTTGCCGGAATACTTGCGTAGCAATCACCATGAGCGATTCTCTGATAAGCGGGGAGCCAAGAAACACGGATTCCATCGTCAGACCCCACTCAC